GAGAGAAAATGAGAGAGAGGGGAAGAGGGAGACAATAAAAGAGCTATTCCAGCAAGGCAGCACCCCCTCACAAACACCCCCAAACCTAAATGAGGAGGGAAAGCTCTTAATGCGGAGGGCTAATAGTGTGGATTTAGCAGGGACTTAGACAGAGAGAAGGCCGTCTGCTGAGAGGGAAGGCAGAAACCAACACTGAGAGAAGCTGGAGAAATAGAAAGGGCCACTGTCCTCGGGATGCATAGGGATGTCCCACTGGCTTATGTTTTCCCAAAGAGGAAACCGGTTTTTCAAACATGGCCCTGGGTGTGTAATGACTTCAACAAGTGGCTGAGGTCTGGATGAATGGGGCTCTGCCTGTTTATTTAGGTTTTAGGGAAGCATCGCAGCCAAGCCTGCATAGGTATGAAGAACATGTCACTTCTCCTCATGTAGAAGATGGCTTCACTAAACAGCCAACCAATTTTCCATCCCGTTTTAACCAATTTGGCAAATTACAGCCATTTCAACTTGAAGATTCAAAGATGTTTTGGAGCACAAAGCGCCAATGTTCCAAACACATAAGCACCCTTTCATTTCCTCGGATGTTATTGCAGTTAAGTCATCTCTAACGTTGACATGCTTTCTCTTGAATAGAAACCTTTACATCTAGGGAAATATTTGTGGCTTTTTGTTTTATATGGCCAATAACATAGAAACGGCTCTTTCAGTGAATGGGCCAGTGTTTGAATGCTGTCTATGTTAGTTTAAACATATACATTCTAGCTTACAGGGGCCATTTATACAGTAGCCTATGGTGCAGGTTTACATAACTGTAATTATAGTGTATTTTCCTATAGCTATGTAGATGCTAACAATGAGTTGGGCTTTAGAAAACAGAAATGCTTACGTGTTCCACAGCGTGGGCAGCACTCTCCATCAGGAACAGTAGCATTAGCGCAGGGGATCAGGGGGCAAGAGATCTTGCGGCACACAGTAGCAGAGTCCTGCACAGAGATCAAATATATGGATATCACCCAAATGTTGCTGCAAATTATGTCCAGGTGCTGGGATAAATCCCCATTTCCAAATGGAATTGAAACAGCACAGAACTGTGTCAGTAATATAGAACTGATTGTAAATTTACAATGGTGCGTGTTACGGGATAATTTTTTATCCAAGTCCTAGTCCATGTCCGTGCAACCAACTCTTTAAATTCTCTGTTCAACATCTGAGTTTGCACAGATTTACCATGCCAGAAAAACTAAAAAGCGGAATTCTGGCTGCGAACGGAGACCCCTGCAGACAACCACCTGCCCACTGGGTCAGGGGAGGGTGGGAGCGAGGCCAAAGTCCTAATAATGGAACTCGGTTTCACTGTGAAGCCGGACTGGGCACTGAGCCCCAAACAAGTAACGCCAGCCTGCCAGCACAACCTGTGTGGGTGCACTGTGAATGACTCAGGGATAACAACTGCCTTAAACTATGCATGCTAATGTACTCCCTCCTGGATCTGATCACTGACAGGGAAGAAAAGGGGAAATAGGGACAAGTAGTGTATCGTAGAAGTGGAAATCAGGAAATAAAGCCTATCTGTGAAATGCAGCAATCTTCCTTGCCAAGTATTTTGCACCTAAACCCATCCCTTCTTTCCACTTGTCAGAGCCAAGGTCTTATTCGTAATAACGGGCAATGCGTCTGGTCAAGTCCCCCTAGGCCACACTAAGTTGAACTTCTGACAGCAGACCTCTCATTACAACAGTAAAGGCTGTTGGCCTTCTGCCAGGGCTTCACACTACTAATTACTAACCAGATCAGTTGAGTGGTGGTAAGTGTGTGTGTGTGTGTGTGTGTGTTGTCTTCATATATAAGTGTGTGTGCATGTACAAACAAGTCAGATCATAGAGTGCATCACCTCACATGTGTTTAAGTACTCAAGACACAATATGTACAAGCCGATGGGAGCACAGTTGAGATCTCACCTGACAAGTGCACTCGGTGCAGTCATCCACAGTCCACTCATCTCTGTTCTTGTGCACGATGCCGTTGTGGATGCAGACGCCACTGTGAATGCCAATGCGGTTCTTAATCAGCTTGTTCTCATCCGTCTGGGAGGGAGGTGTACAAAACAGATGTTGCTTATTGATTGTTTGAATTCGTAATGCAATACTTGTAAAAAGGAATGGATATAATAAGAGCAGGAGTACCCAGAAAATTGTTTAAAAAGTGAAACATGAATGAGGTAGACAAGTTTATTGTTAATCCAAATAGGCACCAGTGTATATGAAGCAACTTTCGAAAAAAAAATTGATTTGTTAAAATAAGAATGTAGTAGCTGGTTGAAAGAAAATGAAAGATGTTTAATGTTTCATTTTGCAGTTATATGTATGCAGATATCAATATTGGTGCAGACTATCACTGAATTTGAGTATATAAAACAAAATGCATTATGCCTCAATAGGCTGCTTTGTTTTCTAAGGGCTCAACGTATTCTTAACCCCATTTGATTAACCATAAATGTGATTTTACAGTGCAAAACAACAAACATGTGGAGTCACTACATCTCCTTAGCTGTATATACAGTATTTGTCTGTCATTAACTGTACACAGGTGGGGATGGTAACCTAGAGACCAAACAACACACAAACACACACAGACAGGCAGCAGACAGACAGACAGTCTCCTTCTTACCAGCTGGCGCAGTTCATTGGACAGCTCCTTGACCACCACACCGAGTCCTTTCAGCTCCTTAAACATACTGACCAGGTCATCACAGGAGAAGCCACAGACCATCTGCAGGTCTTCACCAGGACAAAAACACAGAGAGAAAGGTCATTAACTGGTAGAGAAAAATCATTCTCACTCTAGACTAGACTGGTCAGGATTCAGGCTGGTGTGTACTCAACAGATGAGGCAGTGTAACAGGGTATAATGGGAAGTGTTTAAGATTTACCTTTAGTCTTATGTCCAGTGTACTCGGTTCTGATGGCTGAGGAGCCATTGAGGTTCTCCAGGATCATGGTATCAGTCGTCATGGCTGAAAGAAGAACAGCACCATTAATCAAATCACTTATCTGCGCACTCATTTTTATGGTTGGTTCATTAATGAGGAGGGATATTGTTCTTAAAATGTTGCACACCCCCACAGGGCTATAAATTATTATGAAAAGTTAATACTGCACAGCCCAGAGAACATACTTTGAGACCACAGTGCGCTGAGATATTTGTAAAGTGGCATTCCTGTGTGACAAGTGGTAAACAGCTTCCCGGGGAGGGTGTTATGTAGAAATCAGCATACAAATTAAGTATATACACTTTTCTTTGATAAGGACTTGCTAGGCAGTACATGAAGCAGATGAGTGAGTAAACACACAAGAAGTATGATTACTCACAGCTTTGGCATCCTTTGTTGCGGAGGATGGCTTCGAGTGTTGTTCCAAAGACAAACCGCACGTTTTGTAGGACCCCCTGCAAGGAGCAGTGTTCAGTTTAGGCTATAATCCTGTACAGCAATAAATAAAACCGCTTATCATCATATTGGCTTAAAAATAATCAATCAGTCCTGCCATGTGCGCGTTTTTACGCATTGGGACATAATTACGCATTTGCATTTTGAACAAAATCTCCGGTGACAACATTAAAAAAGAGAAGTGACTGGATTGCCCCTGTGAAATAAAAACACAATCTTCAAACTTAAAACGAAATCTCCTGTCTATAATGGCCCATGCTCTCACCATGAACTTGTCCTTCACGGCTCCCTTGCCAATCCTGAGCTGCGCGCTGGCCGGGGTCTCCGGCGTCAGGATGCTCTGGATGGGCGCATCCAACTCAGCGGTGTTCACCTCGTCGCATCCCGTGTACAGCTGCGCCCGGTCCTCCTGCACAAACAACGTGATATTCTTCCAGTGGCCTGTAGCCAGATCTACGTCTTCAATGGAAACCACCTGCTGCTTGTTCTCGGTGGAGAAAACTATGTCCAAGGTGTTCGCCTTGCCGTTGGAGACGATCTCAAACACGGGTCCAGAACCGTCCTGCTTCTCCACGGTCAGGAGGCTTCCCCTGGTCCGTTTGAACTGCTTAAAGTTGAGCAGGAGGAGGAATCCCCTCTCGGCGTGGATGGAATCGATCAGGTCCCTAAAGGCGCTCTCGGGGACCGGGGGGATCAGGTCCGGGTTGTGGATCTTGTAGGCGGGGCTGTACGGGTCGTCTCCTTTGACCAGGGTCACCCCGTGTTTCTTCTTGGGGACTTGGACGAGCTCAAACAAGTCATACACGCTATTGTCGTCTCGACTCTCTGCGGGTGAATAATAATAAGCAATCAGCCTTTGTCTGGCAGCGCACCGGATTCCTGTTTTTATTCTCAATAAACTGAAGACCTTTTTAACCACAGCAGATATTATAAAATATCACTATAATTGATAATAGTTTTTTTTATTTATGTGAAAAGAAAAGTCATATTCTTAAAAGTTTGCAAAGTTCAGCCAAACTCACCTGCGACTCTCGCACTCTCGCAGGTCCAAAGCATCAATAGCAAAAATATCCCTGTCAACTTCATGGTGAGACACCAACCTGCTGCCTGTGACAAATAACGACAAAAAAACAACAATGTAACCATTTATAACCGTATTATCAACAAAGTCAGTGTGCAACAGTTTGAAAGCAATAAATCATATTAAAGTTGGGTCACAAATCAATAACTGATCAAGAGCTGGAGAAATGGTCACATTCCTTTATAATATTTCACACTCACCTGCTTCACAAAAACAGCAGACCAAATAACACAATAATATCCCGCAAAAATATGTAGAAATCCAGCAATAATCCCCAAGAATGAATTTATGGCGAATTATTTAAAAGACTTCCACAGTGAAAAGAAGAGAAATAAGTGTTTCTGTTGTTTGTTTTTTTTCTTCTTGATTGAAAACTTGTCCTTGCTGGTATCGGCCGCTAAAAAACTCCCTTTTAAGCCGAGGGGACAAAGTGCTATTTAAATAGTTTGATGCCATTCCTAAGAAGTGGCTTCGTCCAATCACGGCGAGGAAAGAAAAAGGGACGAGCTTATCCCCTTAGCTCAGAGAGAGAGAGAGGGGGGGGGGGGCGCTTTCCACTGCGGGACGAGGGACCAACTTCAGTGTGCAGTCGCACTCAGACTTTTAATGGACCAGTGCTTCCTCTCGCAGCGTCCATCCATCAGTCCTCACAAGCATTTCCAACCCAGAGATTCCCATAAGCACTCTAGTACAAATTACTGTATTATTGCTAGGATATTTCACTCTGCTATATTCATATCCAGAGTGACATAAAAATCACAAAAAGACATGCGAGATCCCACCTGTGTTATTCCATAAGGTCTGCTCAGTAGCTGCAATATACCTATAATATTCTTATGCACAATGCCTGCGACCCCCTTTTTTAGGTCTTTGCGTTTTTCCAATACTCATATTGTTTTAGCTTATTTATATATGTTGCTACTTTATGTCTAAAAGGTTCCACCTAGAGACACTGTATCAGCTATATGTATAATTTACAGTTTTCTATGTATCCTTAAATATACTGCAGAATTAGTACTTCTCCTTATTGTTAAGGCTGTTTAGTAAAAACGTAAAAAGGACATATATCAGGTCTGAACAGTAGTGAGTTTCAGTAGAGTTTAATTATCAGCCTCAGCTTGTTGCAGTTCCACCTCCAACCGCTAGGAGCCGACGTGAGTTCACTGGAGAGGTGCCTGAGGCAGTTGAAGTCAGTGCTGCAGCACACCTGAACTTACTTTCAGAATTTTGTTTTTGTTAAGATTTTGTGCAAAAGAAATAATTAAATAATGATTAAAACTGGTGATAATGTATGACCACATCCTATTTTAATTCTCTGAAAACAGTGAAAGTGGTAGGACATCGTCCTGAGCAAGCATCGTCCCTGATCATATGTCACTGAGCAAGGCACTCAGTTTCTGCCAAAGAAGAATAGGTAGAGCAAGAAAAAACATGGAATGGAACTTAAGCATAGTGCACTGCAATAAATAAACCATAAACAAATAAGCAAAATTGTAACTAAAATATATTTTGAAGTTATGGAAATGCCTGCTCAGAAATGTCACACCATGTATCTGTCACCATATACTGGTATTAACAGCAATTTAGTGATGTTTGGCAGCTTTGACTTGTTTTTATCAGCTTCACATATTCAATTTCCGTAGCTGTTAATTTAATGCACCGAAAATAACCGTTATTTATTTCTATATAATTTTTCGTCAAAGCCACAGAGCCACTGGAGAGGGGCTAAAGAGCCACATGCGGCTCCAGAGCCGCAGGTTGGCTACCCCTGGTCTAAACTAAACACTCACTAAGCTGTTTATACTGAATAAGAAAATCACTGTTTATAGTTCTTAGGGGGAATTTCCCTCTTATTTACCGGATAGCAAAATAAATGTATTTGCTGAATCACAGATTTCAGTCCAGTGTGTTTCTCTTTAGTGCAGTCCTCTTCCACTGAAGCACTGGAAAAATATCAGTTTGTCAAATGTAACCCAGTTGACACAATATGAAGCCATTCCTAGCACTTTATGTCCACCTTTCAATCAGGTTTCAAATGCCTGGAATTCTAATCTAATCTAATCTGTTTAATTATTTATCTCAACCACGTGGCGTTTTTACACCACCCTGTGCAGGTTGTAGTTGTAGTTGTAGTGACATCTCATTCCTTCATTCTTCATCGTTCAGGATCATATTTCTCATTTAGAAAAGAGACATATAGCATAATACAGAAAGAGCAAGAAGTGGTGGCAGATGTTACGGCAAGTATTGCCGTGCTGTGTAAAAACAGGCAGTGTTTTGACTACCTGGTGATGGTAGACAGATCCACCTTTTAAGTAATCATACCTTCTGCTGTTCACTGGCAGAGAAACTTAAGCTCTTCTGGCTGTACGTTAGCAGTGTCATTTACTTGATGCATAAGACACATGTCTATATATGTAATGCGACAGGTTTCAGAGCTACGACTTTAACAGACGTGGATTGGTGGAGCTTAAAGCTGGTTTAGACGTCTCTACCCTGAGGGGTCCTGAGGTCAGAGCTGAGCTGACTCTTCTGGTGCCTGTGAGTCTCTGTCTCAGATCGGGACCCTTGATGGAGACTGTAGGCAGCTTGTTTCAGCCTGTGGAGGATACACTGTCAGTGCCTCAGGTGCCAGCACAGTTAGCTTGTCTACAGTGTAATATGACAATATATAACGATAAAGATTTGTCAGTTTGGAGAGGCGTTAACTTGAGCGAGGAAATGGACCAACTCGTGTTTGAGTGACGCACAATTTGGGAGCTTGTTTAAGCTCATTTAACACTCATGTTAGTGTTTGGTTGTTATTTTGTAAGCTCTGCCCATGAAGAAGAAAGCACATATGCAGGAAAAAAAATGTGCTGCTGTTTTTGGCAGGTGAAAATATAAATAAAAGGATCAAGGGGAAATTTGTCTGAATACACACATGCTGCCACACACATTCACTAAAGACGTTTTGCGTGTAGATGTGAGCATGTACACCACACGTCTTCCTTTCCATTTCTTTCCTGTTTTTGTTACATGGCCAATAGGAGGAACGAAGAAGAAACAAGGAAACAAAAGGAATGATGAGAAGAGAGGGGGGCAACAAGGAAGGAAGAAACAAGGGAAGGAGAGGACACGAGATGATGAGGAACAAGGAGAGGAAATTAGAACCAGGAAAAGAAAAAAACAAGGGAAGGAGAGGAGTAGACAGGAAAAACAAGATGAATGGATTTAAATTAAGAAAAGGAGTGAAGAAACAAAGACAGAAAAGGAGTAACAACAAAGGAAGAGGAAAAAAGAAATGAGTAGAGGAGAAATAAGAAAAGAGGAGGACTAACAAGAAGAGGAGAGGAAACGAGGAACAATAAAAGGAGAAAAGGAAAGGAGGAGTAATGAGTAGGGGAAAGGATAGGAGAGGTGAAATGAGGAAAGGAGAGGAGTAAAGCAACAAGGAGAGAAGCAGGGAAATGAGAGGGGAGGAAACATAAAAAAGAGAAGAAACCATTGAAGTAGAGAAACAAGTGACAAGGAATGGAGAGGAGTAATGAGGAGAAGAAAGGACAGGACAGAAAAGGAGGGGAGGTGAGAAACAAGAAATGATGGTAAGAAATAAGGAGAGGACAGGAAAGGAAAAACCGTGAGAGGAGATGAGACTCAAGCAAAGAAGGGGCAAGACAAGGAGAAATAGAAGAGAGGAATAGGTTTTGAGAAACAATGAAAGGAGATGGGGAACAAGGAAGTAGAAGAAAAATGGGGAGAGGAGAAACAAGGATAGAAAATGGCATACAAGGACAGGAGTAATGAGGAGACGAAAGAAGAGGAAAAACAAGGAGAAAAGTGAGAATTAAGGAAATAAAGGAGAAACAAGTGAAGTGGGGGAGGAACAAGGAAAGGACAGAAAAGGAGAAACAAGGAAAGGAGAGAAGTAATGAAAAGAATAAACCACTTGGAAGCTGTTGAGAGTCCAGGTACAGGAAACCACTGAGTAACAGTTTATGACAGCTGACAAAACTTTCCATAACCCCCATGTCCTTCTGTCTGGCCTCTTGTTGCTGAGCTTCAGCGGCATGACAGGTCCTGATTATGGCCTCTGTGCTGAATCATCCAAAATGTTTTGTTGTAATGTAGCATCAGAAAGCTGATGATTCAAGGGTTGGGAATGAAAGGTGATAAAGTGAGTGAGTTTTATTGTAAGAGTTGACAGTAAGATGCCCTGTCAGTCAGATTTCCAGTCATCTGTTGGCCTCAATGTTTCCTTAGAGCTGCTTCATACTTGTTTGGACTGAATTTTGTTATGATGATAGATATATAATGATTAGTGTTGGGGTTGTTAGTCAATACATAACACATTGCTTGTTACTTTTTTTTAAAGTTAATGCATTACTTTGCTTAATTACTTCTTGTAGAAATGAATTTGTTACACAACTCGTTACATTACTTATACCTTATATCAACAGCGTTCCAAAGGATCCAAACACTCAAACTTGTTTGAGTCGCTCGCTCACCAAATTATGAGTTTATAGTAGACTAATCCATCTTATTTGATGCTTATATCACTAAATCAGTGGTTATACCTCAAAGGGAGGCGTCGCGCAAATGTTTTGTCAAACAACCTGTTCCTCCTCGGAGTCAGCACATGATTGCCCAGGCTGAAGAGCCTCTCCACAGGCCTACTAGACGGCATTGCTGTGTTGAATTTTTCATGGATATTGTATGGAAATAGTTCAGGATCTCCATCTTTAACCCCGACTTCAAATATTCAGTGACTTCAGT